GTCCACTCGTCAGCCTGGAGGCTCAGAGTTCAATCCCCACTGGTGACGGGTTTTTCTCTTCTTTTGTTTCCTACACACACCGTAATCCTAGGGTAGGTGGAACCAAGAACCAAGTCATCTCAGATGAAGAACGAAAAATTTCAAAGGTCGCGAGCGAAAGTTTCCCACGTAATAGATCCCTTGATGCTTCTAAACACAAAAAGGTTAGGCCTTTCGGGCCACCCACCAGGCAAAATTCAAAATCAATTTCTACCCAAAACTGAAACCACCATTCTCATCAAAATAAACATTTTAAAGTTTAAATTACTTTCAAAAGCAACATGCGCATGCCTGTACAGCAGCGAATGAATCTAACTTCAAAGTAGATAATACAGCCTGTTATGTTCATGTAAAATCAACAGCACTGTGAAATGACGATGTATCTCATAGTCAACCTGAGAAATGTAGGACCTCCCGGTGGCACCCTCCAACCACCTACGTCTTACCAGGAACAGATTAGAATAAAGTAACTTTGGACAGAAAAAGAAGTAAATCAAATCAATGCACCGCACCTATCAACCAACCACTAGCAAGCCCGACAAATTTACTGAACTGAACAGCACAAAAGGACAACAAGCAAATAGAACGAAAACAGGAAACAAGTCAATAATTTTTTATTATCTTTTTAAATAGTAGAGGGTTTTTACGGCGCTCGCAACTGCATAAGGTCATTTGAGCGCCAAGGGGTGGGTGTCAACCGAGAAGTCTTTACGGGGAATCAGACTTATTCTGCTCACCTCTCTAGCTTCAACAGCACAAGCTCTGCTTCAACTATCAAGGCATCCCAAAAAGAGCAGGTCACAAGAGAGTGACAAACATACAAAAGAAGTAGAGGAAAAAGGACAATAGTAAGGATTAGGAAAGAAAAAGCAGCAGTTCCTTGTTGTAGTTCAGGCACAGTTATGAGCGTGACATGAATCAGCCCATTTACAATTCTACTGTGCTTGAACGAGAAATGTCCTCCCTTTGGGAATGGCCTAAAGACACAACAGTCAGTGGCACTGCCCCGGGGGGACAAGTCAATAAGAGCACCAGAGGAACAAACATCTCGTAATTTACAAATGTTTGACTTTTCTCCCCAGACAAATGCACAAAAAAAATATTACAACAACAATAGTATGTTTATGAGTAAAGAGAAGCACATCGACACAATAGTGGTCATTGAGTACTGATAAAAAGTAAGACTGACAGACAGACGAACTGACAGGCGGAGGGATGGATGAACGGACAGGCGGACGGACAGAGAGAAACAACAGAGGGAAAGAAAAGAAGCAGAACCTACCAGTATTTTTTTTTTTATAGTAGAGGGTTTTACGGCGCTCGCAACTGCATAAGGTCATATGAGCGCCAAGGGGTGGGTGTCAACAGAGAAGTCTTTACAGGGAATCAGACTTATTCTGCTCACCTCTCCAGCTTCAACAGCATAAGGTCTGCTTCGACTATCAAGGTACTCCGGAAATAGCAAGTCACAAGAGAGTGACACACATACAAAAGAAGTAGAGGAAAATGACAATAGTAAGGATTAAGAAAGAAAAAGCAGCAGTTCCCTGTTGTAGATCAGGCACAGTTATGAGCATGACATGAATCAGCCCATTTACAATTCTACTGTGCCTGAACGAGAAATGTCCCCCCTTTGGGAATGGCCTAAAGACACAACAGTCAGTGGCACTGCCCCGGGGGGACAAGTCAATAAGAGCACCAGAGGAACAAACATCTCGTAATTTACAAATGTTTGACTTTTCTCCCCAGACAAATGCACAAAAAAAATATTACAACAACAATAGTATGTTTATGAGTAAAGAGAAGCACATCGACACAATAGTGGTCATTGAGTACTGATAAAAAGTAAGACTGACAGACAGACGAACTGACAGGCGGAGGGATGGATGAACGGACAGGCGGACGGACAGAGAGAAACAACAGAGGGAAAGAAAAGAAGCAGAACCTACCAGTATTTTTTTTTTTATAGTAGAGGGTTTTACGGCGCTCGCAACTGCATAAGGTCATATGAGCGCCAAGGGGTGGGTGTCAACAGAGAAGTCTTTACAGGGAATCAGACTTATTCTGCTCACCTCTCCAGCTTCAACAGCATAAGGTCTGCTTCGACTATCAAGGTACTCCGGAAATAGCAAGTCACAAGAGAGTGACACACATACAAAAGAAGTAGAGGAAAATGACAATAGTAAGGATTAAGAAAGAAAAAGCAGCAGTTCCCTGTTGTAGATCAGGCACAGTTATGAGCATGACATGAATCAGCCCATTTACAATTCTACTGTGCCTGAACGAGAAATGTCCCCCCTTTGGGAATGGCCTAAAGACACAACAGTCAGTGGCACTGCCCCGGGGGGTGAACCTACCAGTAGCACCCTCCAAGCACTTGCACTACCACAATAGTAAGAACGACATTTTGTAAAAAGCAAAGAGTTTTGAGTCGGATTTAGACATGTAGTAAATTATCAATCTAGAGGGTACCTACTCGTTCTTCACCTTTGTCTTTTCTTGAAGATTTTTGAGAACCTCCTGCCCCCTCAGAGCCAGGTACACTTTCTTGTTGACGTGATCAAACTTCAGCAACTGATATTCCACCTGCGAAATATGTATTGTGACACAAATGTGGATGAACTGATAGTGATGGGAGTGCCTTACAGTCTAAATCTCTTCTTTTTTTTTTTGTCTTTTTTGGGGTCAGTATTTTACGACACTCGCAACTTCATAAGGTCATATGAGCACGCGGGACACACCAAACATTTTCAGTTGGTAGGAAATTTTGAATTTTGTCCGCCACACCGAAGCCTACTCTTATCGATTTTAGACCACCAAGGGATCTTTAACGTGCGCTACCTGCAAAAGGGCCCTTCGAGATTTTCACCCTTGTCAGAGAAGGCTAGGTGTAGATCTTTCCTACCAGAAGATCAGGGGTGTGGATGAAAGACAGCAGTAAGAAGGAGCCAAGGAGAAGCAGTAGAAAGGCTGCAGAAAGAGCCAGGCGCCCAGAGGAGGGGGAAAAAGGAGGTGAGGGGAGTGGGGGCAGAAAGAGGAGATCCAGTCTCATTAATTATTAATAACTTCAAAACATTAATCATATACCACCATTTGTGAAGCAGCGTGTTGAAATCAGGCGCTCATCAAAATACTGAAATTGAAGAAAATGTCATTTTTCTTCCGGTCTGACAATTTTGTAGAATTTTTATTTTTTGACTCAACACCTTTTATGTCCATTTATAAACGGTTGGCTGTGTGGCTTTTACTGGAAAAACATTGATTAAAGGCACACAAAAATGAAAATTTATGGTTTCCAAAGACTCTCACGTTTTGGGAGTCACCAAACATTGGCAAGCCTTTTCGCTCTTATTTTATATCTGAAAACAGGTGACTCCCACCTCTTTTAATCCAACATATCTCGACTTCTATTACAGATTAGACGTATAATTTTTTCCTCAAAAGCAAGACAAATGAACAAGCTTAAAGATGATACCAAAAACTCTGTATGTCCAAAAATTGACGAGCGCCTGATTCCACCACGTCGTGACACATATATATTATAGCAGCCTCAAAAACATAGCACTGTCTTTGATTTTTTTTGTTTGAGTAAAGAGAAGCACATCAACACAATCATGGTCATTTAGTGCTGGGAAAAAGTAAGGACAGACAGACAGACAGACAGAGAGACAGACAGACAGACAGACAGACAGACAGACAGACAGACAGACAGACAGACAGAAACAACAGAGGCAAAGTAAAGAAGTAAGACCTACCAGTGGCACCCTCCAACCACCCGTGCACTGTGTTTAAGGGCAACTATAAACTACAGAACAGCACGTTCTCAAACGGATAGAAAGACTGCATAACACTAACAGCAAACACATTTTGCTTGAACGTACACCAGCAAAAGCCTTCCAGGGAAAGCACAAAAATCAAAATCAACTCACAAACATTCCATTCAAATGTAGACCTAAGTACATTAGTATGCAAGTGCAAACATAAAATAAAAGTAACATGAGCACTGTTTTGACATTTACCTTTTTAGGGAGAGGTCACAATGCTCAGAGACAGCTTTCATGTGTAATTTTATTAATTTATTGAATATTTGTTGGTGAAATGTATAGGTTTAACGTCCCTATCAACAGTATTAGGTAAGTTAAGAGGCTGGACCTCCGAGTTTAATATCTATCATTCATGGAAAGGGCCTAACCAGTTGGGAAATTCATGTAAAGCCCTTTCCCAAGGAAACAACGTTGTACCCGCGAACCTGGAAATTTCCTTGAAAAACATTGATTTTGTCAAGTGGTGTGTTTAATTTTGGGTTCTGTAACAAATTCACAGGTAGCAACATCCCTATTTAATCATAAATAATACAACAAAGAACACGGAAGAACAAAATGTTCTGAACCTAGAACATTTAAATTTTGCAAACGGCCCCATACAGCTAATATCTGTAACACAAGAAAATAGTTTTTGCTTCTTTGCATGGTTTTGCAAGAGAACAGAATTTCCAAATCCATTATTTCATTATCCAAAGGCAATTAATCATTTCAAGTTTCATGTACACCTCCACTTTACTCTGTCCTGCGTTGCAGCGATGGTGTCTCGTCGTTCTTGCTGTTCCCTCTGTCTGCCTCTGCCTCTCTAACCATCAAACTTGCCTGTTGTTACAATATTATTCTCCAATGCTTCTTTCCGCATTGCGTTTCCAGTTAAATTTGCCTGTCGCTTTCGTACATTTCATCATAAGCTGTCGTTTGCAATTTGCTTTAACCAAGTCTTCTTCATTTGTTTTTCTAGCTGTCTATGGGATACGTAGCATGCGTCTTATGAACCACAACTCTGTCGCCTCCATTGTTCTTTGAGCACAACATTGCTACATATAATTTTCAATCATTATTTTCCTTCTCCTCAAATTATTTGTAAAAATTATGACACTCAACTTCAGATCTTAGCTGCACTAACAATCTTCACAATAAAATCTCTAAGATCCCATATATATATAAATATTATCCTAAAGTAAGTAAGATATATCAACCGTCACCTCAGAACTATTTTGTTCAAAGTAAAGATTACTTAACACTTTACCCCCACGGGACGCCGATCGGTGACGGTAAGAAGCCGTACCTTTTCCCCATGGGACGCCGATCGGTGACGGTGTGATATAGCGTGTACCACATCTGTATCCGTGGGGAAAAGTGTGGCATGCTCTGCGCGCTGCGAGGGTGGATAGTGTTAAGTACACTTTGGACAAAACAATTCAGATGCAATGCAATGTCTGACTAAACTCCATCGTGATAACCAAAAGAGCAACACACTCACCTCATCACCCCAGTAAAGCACATCTTTCGTTCTGGACTCAAGCTTATGGTACTGAACGAGAAACTGTTTGATGCCGTGGCGACGCACATGATCGGCGTACTTCTTAGTCTCCGCCCAGGACAAAGCTGTTCCTTCCGACAGAAGACCCATGGTAGCTCGACCCGATCTGACACTTGGAATGTGGTACAACTGAGACTAAAGTAGTGTTTGAAGAAAACCCTGTGAAGAACAATAAAAAATAAACTTCCCTAATTAGTTTGTGCAAGTTTCAGACTAGACAAATAATGGGGGGGAATTCCACAACGAGCGACCAAAATGAAGATAGAAGGTTAGGGTTAGGGTTAAGGTTTTGGTTAGGGCTATGCTCAGGGTTAGAAGTCTCTTTTTCATTGTGTTTGATGGGGTGGTCGTCATGGTAACCAGTCATTTCGTCACATGGTCATCTCATCACACCCCAATTATACATGACGAAATTACTTCTTTTATCTCTCTAAAATTGTTTACTAACCCTAGAAGCGCAGCGTTTCCTCAGAAATAACCTGCCCTAGATGCATTTATTTCCAAGGAATGCTGAAATTTCCATTGATAAGGGTCAGGGCCTATATTATGCCCTTTATCTAGGGTCTGCACCCTTCCTGATCGAAGTATGTCGGCCCTATAAGGGCCTACGAGCTTCCCGGGTAGCCCGGCTCACGCCCTATAATATACATGGTCTGCACGCAAAGGCAGAAACAGCTGTGGGAAAATCTTTCATTAATACAACTCAACAAAACTGCGCCCATCCCACCAATAAAACAACAACAACAAAAACTCACCAAGTGAGGAACTAAGGCAGAAACAACAGTTGGAAATTCTTTCATTCAAAACAACTCAACTCTCTCTCTCCTCTGTCTCTGTGTATCGCTCGCATTCTCTTTTTCTTTGTTTGTCTCTGTCTTTCTTTCTCCCACTCTATCTTTCTCTCGTTCCCTCCTGCTAACTGGGGCATGTCATATACATATATATACATTTAGCCAGCACTTTCCCCTGTTCTCTCTCTCTTTCTCTCTCTCTCACACACACACACACACCCACACTACCGGCAGGGGCGGCTCGTGGGTCTAAAAGGTGGGCGTGCACAATTAAGCTATCTAAGGTTGAAGATAGTCAAGGGCATAGTAAATGAGATGGTGTATAATTTTAGGATCTTTGGTTTGGTGAGGGAAAACCTTGTGATTCTATTTTCATTCTTTTTACTTGTGGCTTTGACTTCTAGAACTAAATCTGTTTGTTAGCTAAACGTCAATTTCATTCATCCTGCTTTAGAACTGAACACTCAAGTAATACCTTTCCCCACTCCACTACAAAACCGTTCAAAAGCACAACTCATAGGACGATGACTTAAGTGTGTCACGTTCACCTCCCTCAGGTTCACGGTCAGAGAGTCACTTAAAATAGCGGCAAGACAATGAACCAATCACAATTCACTTGAGCACTCCGCTGGATTGCTCCGGGGCTGACATAATTTTAGCATAGAATAGTGCAGTCTATCGCGTTTATTTTTAGATTGCCTACTGTGGGCTATGTTTCGGCACTATTCGGCAGGAGTACATTTGAGATGTGCCGTCTTATTAATATTAATGTACCGCCAAACTTGCTACGAGTGTCATCATCGCTTGGGTTATCCCAAAGAACGATTTATAGGTCAGGTTTCCACTGTTGAATATCCTGCTATGCATAGATACAGCGTATGAACTTTGGCATGGCATAGTAGATGTTTTATGGCGCTATAGAATAGAAATGACAGTTACGGCGCCAGTGAGAAACGCATTTTAATATAATATTTGGCTAGTGTTTGTTTCTGGCGTCTTTTATTTTGTTATTGTAGGTGTTTTACGTAATAGAACATTAAAATTTTGGGCAGCACTGCACGACCGTGCTCAATGGACAAACCGCGCCTGACTACCAGGTCTGGGCGCTGAAACTTTCCGAAATCACAAAAGAGTTCCCCTACCAGGTCTGTATACTTCGTGACTTTGTTCCCGGTTACCGGGTCTGTATACACTTCGTTGATTTTAAGGGCATTACACAGCAAATTGAAAAGGCACCAAAGTAAATTGTCGCGGTGCCGCGGTCTATTTCAAGCCCTGCATTAGATTGACACTAGATCTAGACTAATGTAGGCATATAAATGTAGGGTGATCTTGTAGTTCCATTCGTTTAAGTCCACGATCCATTTGTTTACATCCAGAGAAAAAATCCAGAAGTCTTGATGACCGAATAGGCAGCACAAAGAACAGGGATGCAGCCTAACTGCAAAACATCAAATTATGGTAAAATTCAGGGGGCCCCCCTGAAACCCACCCCCCCCCCCCCCCCCCCCCCCCCCTCCCTCCATATTGTTATTAGGACAGGGGGGCAAGTCCCCATGAACCCCCCCCCCCTACTCTTTTCTTTAACTAACGAAACTACAAAATAGCGGTAAGATTGTACTCTTCCGGACCACTGGTAAACGCCCGTCAGAACTACTTTCACTATGGCGCGCCCCTGGTGTCTAGTGGTCCGCTATTCTTCCTTTCCCAGCTCCCATACTCACTCTACTACGTCCTCACTCTTAAACTGCCAACTACCGACTGACGTCTCTTACCGGGTTTTTCAGTGATACAGTGCCACAGTGCCCATTGACCCACGACCCTGACACCTTGAAGCTAATTGATCAGTCAAATCACGTGGTCCACTATTTCTTTGCTGGCGGCTCTGCTAGGCTATCCTTGGCCGAGGCCTACTCCTGGTCCGGCAAAGTACAATGGAGGACGAGAGACGCGCATAAGAGCTCATTTGCATAATTGCAACCCCCTTGGCCCTGCTCGCGACTTAGCAAGAGCTGCCATGCGAAGCAAGGCTCGGCCTGTTCCAACTCTCTAATTTCCCCGATTGTCCACTTAGCTCCATGGTCCGCTCATGTTATTGTTTTTCATTTGTGTGTGTGTGTGTGTGTGTTTTTAAATAATTGTTGCCAGGGGCTTGCCCCCCTGAAACCCCCCACTGTTGTTACATTGATATAAAATATGTAAACACGATTGTCCGCTCATGTTATTGTTTTGCATTTGTGTGTTTTATTTATTATTGCTGAGCCCTAAAGACATTTGATTGGCTGCTGGGTTACTATAGTTGTAAGCGGTGACAAAAGTGATTGGATAAGCGAGCAAGCCGCCAAGCTGATCACTACTGTGTTCATTGCGTGCGGTCATAACGGTTTCAACTGCTTATTTCATTATGGAGAAACTTTTATTTACTTTGGGATAGAGTTGGGGGTGGTGGGTGGGGAGTGGGTAGGGGCTCAAGCCCGTGAGCCCTTCACTACCCATCGCCACTGCCCCCACTGTTGGTATGAGTATGATACTCGGTGGGTCCACCAAAGTTAAATCGCCTACCCATCCTCAACCACCACCTCTCACTCACCTAGTCGCTGGCTTGCGCTCCGCGCGAAGTCGCCTGCGGAACTACCTTTTGACCGCACGTAGAGAACTGAGTGCGTAGTCTGTAGTTAGACTAGACATGCGTAGTAATCATGGGCCCAGATGGGTGGTCCAGTAAAGTACAATCCAGCCAAAATCACCAAATGTAATCTAGATTTAGATCTAGATCTCTAGAATCTAGATCTAGATCTAGATATCTAGATCTAGATTTGGATATCTAGATCTAGATCTAAGTATTATTTATGGCTCGATTATTTATAATGACTTCGATATTTGGCATTAAAATTTTGTATTTTTATAGAACCTGTTGTTGAACTTTAACAAACGTAGAGAGAGAGGTAGATCTAGATTCTAGATCTAAATCTAGACTCTAATGAATAGTGCAACATTCTCACTGAGGCGTAGACAAAGACTTTAAGTCTAATTCAAGACCAAACAAAAGATCTAGAAATAGAAGATCTCTAGAGATCTAGAAAGATCCCAGATCTCGACCTGCATCTAATAAAGTGAAAGTGAAACAGATATGCGATCATCAACGAGTAACCAATTTACGCTAATTCACAAATTAAATATGAAACGTAAAGAGTAAAGAGGAGAAAAATCAGAATGCACCACCGTAAACTTTTCAGCTGGGTGGCGTAGTTTACTGCTAAATTCTTCCTGTGCTACTGTCAATAAATCATGCTGGTGCCGCTAAACATACCCGTTTCATTCGCTTCAGAGATCGCATACACCAGCAGCCTACCTCCTCATGGAAGTGGTAGGTAGTGACAATCATTTGTAACCATCTTTGTTGATATACGTCCGCGCAGGCGCGTCGAGAATATTCCCAGAATAATGTTTAGAAACCGCTGGATCAAATGTAAATCCCGCGAAAATAACTAAATTTTGGCCAAACTACGCAACTAGAAGAAGGCACTGATAATATCTTCATATTTTATTTTCTTCTTCTGAAGTCTCTGGACGTTAACTTCTTTTTCTCTAGCTCATCTTTGTCTATGTATTTCCAGGCCTATGTACTGTATCTCTGCTTCCAACCAAC